AAGCTGAGGTATCCAAGCTGAGGTATCCGGAGGAGCCTGTTGATCCAGCGTTTGCTGAGGCGAGCGTGTAGCTGCCACTTGAGGATAAGCTGGAGAAGCCCGTTTGAACCGTTATCGAACCGCCGGCGCCGTTGGACGCTGTCGTTGCGCCTGCGGTTAGGATTATACTCCCGCCTGAGCCTGTGTCACCTTGACCGACAGACATTGTGATGGAGCCGGCTTGGCCAAGAGTTGCCTGGCCAGTCGATACGCCGACAGACCCGCTGTTGCCATTTTGAGAGACGCCCGTTGCAATGGCTATCGCACCACTGACACCGAGGGACGCGCTGTTCGCTGTTGAGAGCGTCAGCATGCCACTTGACGTTGCCGATGACGAACCCGTGGCAATGTAGATCGAGCCACCGGTTTGAATACCAGTGCCACCGGTCAATTGCACAAGACCACCTTGTAAACCGGCTCCAGTTGTCGCGCCGGCTTGAAGAGATACGCTACCGCCGATTCCACTGTTGCCGCTTCCGACGGTCACAGCAAACGAGCCACCGCCACCGAGGTTGCTGGTACCAGTATCAAAGAGTAGAGCACCAGACGGCCCCAAGTTGCTCGAACCACTGCTGAAGCTGAGCAAGCCGGAGACGCCAGAGGGTCCAGAGTTCGGCGTGGAGAGGTAAATTGCGCCACTCGACGTTGCAAGGCCTTGGCCAGACGTGATCACAACTTGACCGCCGGTCGCGGTGCTGCTGGCGCCTGCTCTTGCAGCGAACGTACCACCAGCAAGTGATGTACCGCTGCTGCTTCCAACAAGCGCTGAGATACTACCAGCACTGCCGGCAACAGCCGCGCCAGTCGAAATCAAAATAGAACCGGAGGCTCCCTGCGCACTCGAGCCAGACGTAAACATCAACGCGCCACTGACGCCCGAAGGGCCAGAGTTGCTCGTCTGAAGCGCGATACCGCCACTGGATGTTGTTTGACCAACGCCGCTGACGACGTTGATCGCACCACCAGTCAAGACACCACTGCCGCCAAGAAGCTGAACTGGGCCGCCAGCAAGGCCAGATCCGTACGTACTGCCGGCGCTTAGTGACACTGAGCCGCCGGACCCAACGTTGCCGCTTCCAACCGTGACAAGGAAAGAGCCACCTTGACCACCAGCACTCGTGCCGGAGCCGAGCACTAGGTTGCCACTATTGCCGCTGGACGATGTACCCGTGCTGAAGCTCAAGTATCCCGATGTTCCTATATGAGGAATGTGAGGAATCTGAGGTGCACGATGAAAGTAGGAGTAGTTCTACCACTAGATCCTGCGTTCGGCGTCAGGAGCTGAATATTGCCGCTAGACGTCACAGCGCCGACCCCAGACGTAAGGAAAATGGAGCCACCAGAGCTGAGAGGGTCCGACGTTGCACCCGCACTGGCGTATACGTTGCCGCCAAGCGTCGTCGTGCCGGAGCCAACGCCCAGTATGATGTCGCCTCCAGCTCCTACATTGAATGTGTGAAAACCTCACACAAGAGAAAAGAAGACCATACCCGCAGCGGCTGAGCCCGTCGTCAGCGCAACAGAGCCACTGTTACCGGTGCTGGAAGCACCAGTCGAGACTGTGATCACACCGCTGGTACCTGCGACACCCGAGTTGGCCGTCGACAGCGTGATTGATCCGGAGGACATCGTCGCACTTCCACCACTCGCTAGAGTGATGGCGCCACCGGTAAGACTTCCGACACCGCCTTGCAACGAAACGAGACCGCCAGTAGTAGCGCCAGTGCCAGCGTTGACCTGGACACTACCACCCGTTGCAATCGTGCCATCGCCCACTTGCAAGAGAATTGAGCCGCCGGCGCCTCCTGTCGCGGGACCCGTCGAGAGCGTCAGCCCACCACTGGTTCCGAAGCCGCTCGTGCCAGTAGCCAGCGAGATGGCCCCGGAAGAGTACTGAGTTTTGGCCTTGGTTGCTAGTGACGGCGCCGTCTGTAGCGCGATGTTGCCGCTTGACGATGCTACGCCGGTCCCGCTCATCAAATTGATGGAGCCACCGGTTTGCACGAGGCTGTCGCCAGCGGCGACTGTAACCCCGGCACCACTAAGCGTGTTGCCGCCGGTGAGCCCTGCCGACAGCAAGATGGCACCGGCTTGACCAGTTGGCGAGCTTCCCGAGACCAAAGAGATCGAGCCGCTGACCTTCGATGAAGCACCCGTAGAGAGCTGGAGGTCGCCGCTACTACCCAATACGCCTGCACGAGCAGAAGTGATTTGGACCAAACCGCTGGAGTTGCCGACGCCAACGCCGCTCTGGAGAAGCAACGCCCCGCCGACACCAAGATCACTGCTGCCACCGGCCAAGATTACGCTGCCGCCGGACGTGCCAACCGACGCGCCGCCTTGGAGCGTGATGTCGCCCGCCGACGCTTGTGGACTTTGAGTATCACCCGTTCGCAAATCGATGTTGCCCGTGTTGGCTCCACGCGAGCCGCCCGAGGCCACACTTACGGCACCAGATGCTTGACGAAGCGACTGTCCCGAGGCTATCGTGATCGTCCCCGTTGCCACACTGCCAGACATGGTGGTTGCCGAGATTGAGCCCGTTTGACTACGCCCCGATCCCGTTTGCACGACAACGTCGCCACCGCTGCTGCGATCTGCCGTGGAGTTGCCGCTTTGCAGCGAAATCACACCACCCGAACCGTGTTGGGTCGTGCCAACAGCCAGCGAAATGTCACCCGCTCGCCCCGCCGAGGACCATCCCGTCTAAAGAGATACATCATGGTGAGTTACACAACATGACGATGCGAAATATACCTGAAGGGAAATGTCACCAACCGTGCTGTTGGCGCTGCCCGTCGAGAGCGAGATACTACCACTAGCTCCGTCTTGTTCCGAGTTCTTGGTGACAAGAACCACGTCCCCGCCGTTACGAGAGCCACTTGCGCCCGATTGCACGACGACGTTGCCACCGACTTGTGTTGCCGACGAGCCGGCGCCGATCGTGACGGTACCACCCGACCCAGCTTGACCATCACCGCCGAGAATGTTGATGGAGCCAGCACGCGTGGTTCGCGACATACTGGACGTCGAGCCCGACGACATCACCACGGTACCAGTACTACCATCTTGAGCAGCGCCGGATGCAATGCGAACCACACCGGACGCTGCGCCCTTACCTACCCCGTCGCCTGACAAAGCCACGAGATCGCCACTGGTTGACGACGATGACTGCGTCGAGACCGTCACAGAGCCGGTGCGAGCGCTTGAAGCGCCCATACCACTGACGAGCGTCAACGACCCACCGTCAGCTAGCTGACTATCGCCAGCAGCGACAAGAACGCCGCTGCCACCTCTGTTGCTGACACCAGGCTGAACGACGATACGCCCTGCCGTAGATGTTCTGGCACTGCCGGTGCCGAGGACGAGTCCGCCAGTTGTGGTACCGGCACCCGTCGCAATTGTCATGTTACCAGACAACGCGCCCGCGGCAGACACAACGGTCACAGAGCCTGTCGACGCACTGGGGCTGCCACCGGACGAGAGCACGACGGCGCCACCGGTTCTTGTTTGGCTTGCACCTGCCGACACCACGACAGACCCGCCTTGAAGCGACTCGCTATCGCCGGCCGCGACTTGAACGTTGCCGCCCGCAGCATTCGAGGTTGAGCCCACACGAATCGAGACGTCCCCGCTCTTGGCTCCAGTGCTGCGACCGGTGGCCAAATTGATACTGCCTCGCGCTTCAGTCGTCAGCGAGACGTTGCCGCCGGTCTCCGAGCCAAAGCCGCTGACGAGGTTGACATGGCCGCCGCGTGATGCCAGTGTGTTGCCTGCCGTGATTGAGACGGAGCCGCCGTCGCTGCTTGCGCTTGCACCGACAGCTAGACGAAGGTTGCCGGCGGCACCTTTAAGCGCGTCGCCCGTTTGCACTGACACAACGCCCGAGGCGCCCGTTCTCGCGTCGCCCGAGGCGACAGTGGCTTGACCCGTCGTCACACCTGGAGTAGATCCGAGAGACACAGCGCCAGAAATGGGGCCAATCCCCGATTCAAGGCGTAAAGCACCACCTTCGACCGAGCTGTTGCCAGCCGAGACAATGACGTCGCCAGCCTTGGAAGCTGCACCACCCGCGGCCACAACCACGTTACCACTGGTGCCCGTTGATGCTGCGCCAGATCGAACGACCACCGCGCCGCTTCGTGTCGAATCGCCAGAGGCCACTTGTACGTTGCCACTGACGGTCGCCCCCGCACCAGATGTGATCGAAACGAGACCACCCAGCGAAGCACCTCGGCCAGAGGACAGAGCCAAGCGTGCGCCAAGCCCGCTAGAAGCACCAACTTGGAGCACAACCTCGCCGGCAGTACCTTGAGCAGCATCGCCGGAGGCCACAGAGACAGTTCCCGTGCCAGCAAGGCTTGAAACCGAGGCGAGACTTGCATCACCGCTACGCGAGTTGGCGGACAAACCTGAGCCGGATAGGACTGAGACTGTCCCACCGATGTTAGACTCGCTGGTACCACCTGAAATCACAGCTGAGCCACCACTCGACTGGGTTGCACGGCCAGCGTTCAAACGCAGCGCACCACCACTTGACGACACGGACGAGCCTGCCGCCACGATGACCGAGCCACCAGGCGAAGCGACGCCGGCCCCGCCCACGAGTGACAGCGCGCCAACGCCGAATCGCGAGCCGCCGACCGAGAGCAAGACACCACCAGACTCGCCGCTGTCTGCCAGCGCGGAACCAACAATCAAGTCGTTGCGGACCGTCGACGCCGACACCGTACGCGTTTCGAGCGTCATTGTACCACTCGACGCCACCGATATGGAGCTTCCCGAGCTCGATGCGCCCGTCGAGAGGCTGATACGGCCGGCGGGGCCCGTCGTAGCGTCGCCTGTCTTGAACACGAGCTGGCCTGACCCGTGCGTCGACGACGCACTGCTGAGCGTGACGTCGCCCGACACTTGCTGGTTGCCGGTACCCGACGTTAGACGAACAGCGCCACCGACTCGGTCGTTCGATGACCCAGCGGTGACTTCGACTGCACCACCTTGGCGACGCCCGCTGCCTGCGAGGACGCGCACGTTGGCTGCAACATCCGCCTGAGCATCACCACTGGACAGCGTCACGAGGCCGCTTTGGCCCAAAGGCGCGCTTCCCGAGCCAAGGGAGAGGGCGCCAGCGTCGCCGCTGGTCCCTGCGTCTCCAGTAGTGATGTTGACCGCGCCACTTGACGCTGACGTGCCGGACCCGGACCGAAGCAAGACGTCGCCACCGACACTGCCGACCCGGTTCACATTGCCGCCAGTGATCTCAATCCGACCACCAGCCGACACGTCACTGCTGCCGCCAGCAATTTGCACAGAGCCGACCACACCGGAGCGAGCACCACCCGTCGCAATGCGGATGGTGCCAGAGTTGCCACCGTTCGACGTGCCCGTCGTGACGGTGACGTTACCCGTTGCGCCTTTACCCGCACTGTTGTAATACTCGCCAGTGCTGGCAGTGGAGAGGTCCAAGTTACCGCTGAGATCCGGCGTGTTGGCACCGAGCGCGAGTCGACGTTGCTGCGCCTGGAGCGCGGCCAACAAGTCGAGAACGATCGCTTGCGTATTGACCTGCGTAAGGTTTGCCACACGCACACCGTGGTCCGACACGTGAAAGTCCTCGCGGACATCCACATACTCTGGGAAAATCTCGGCGACTTGCTGCGCAACGACACCGCGAATCGTCTCGTTGGAAAGCCCCATCATCTTGCTCCATGCGTTTGTGTACTTGAACGACTTGAGCTCGAGCTTCTGCAGCCGTTGATAAATGTCCTCTTCGTCAAAGCTCTCAATGTTGGTCTTGATGCGACTGTCGGACGGCGTCAATAGCTTCGCGGCTTGGATGGGCACGTGGCTCATGACCATGTCGGGGAGTGCGCGCAGCGTAATGTTGCGCGACCCGTCCTTGTTGGTATGCGCCACCGCAAACTGGCCGTCGACATGCGCCGTAAAGTTGACACTCTTGACCTCGACAATCGAGCTCTTGATCGAGAGACCATCCTTGGAGGACATGGAAAGCGACGACGTTCCCGTCGTCACGTCCACTGCATCGTCGGCCCGCGTGCGCACCGTCTTGCCGGTCATCGCAATGTCGCCATGCTGCTCCGTACCGCGTCCGCTGCTGAGGTTGATCGACCCGCCCAAGCGTCCGTGGCCGCCATGAATGGACGTGTCACCCGCTTTGCCGTCGACCACGCGGCCGGGCGCCAATGTGATGTCACCCGACGCGTCTGCGCTGTCACCGGACGTCAGCGTGAGAGGCCCGGATGGACCACGCGCCGCCGCCGACGCGAGAACGACGCGTCCCGATTGCCGCTCACCCTCCCCAGACATGACAGACACGTCGCCGCCGTGCATGTTACCACGCCCACCATTGATCGAGACGCCACCGCCGACCTTGCCGGCGCCGCCAGCAACCGCAATCGGGCCACCGACGTTGGGCGACGTCGCACCCGTCAGCCGAAGTGCACCAGGTGTTTCCGACGCACCCACATGGAGATCGAGAGAGCCGGATGCACCAGCTGGGCTGGATCCGGTTGCGACGATTGTGTCACCGGAACCGAGGACGCTGGCCGCCGATGAAACGGTCACGGCACCGCTTGCTGCTGAGGCACTTGGACCACTCACGATGCCAATGTCGCCACCGAACCCAGATGAACCACCTGAGATCGCAATGCCACGCCCCGCGTTCAGCGTCACATCGCCCACCGAGGCTTGCGCGTCGATCGAGTGCCCACGCAGTTCGATGCGACCTTGGTCAGCAGCCGCACCCGACACAATGCGAATGCGGCCACTTGACTTGCCCGCCCCCGTCGTGAGCTCAAGGTCACCGCTTGACCCTGTTGATGGTGTCGTACCCGACGCCAGCACGACACGACCGGTAGCGATTCCGTCGGCGGACGCCAACGTTACGTCACCGGACGAAACCGAGCCCGCACCGCTTGATAGAGACACCGCGCCACCAACCGAGGAACCGAGACCGCCCGCAAGTTGCACGGCGCCACCGACGGCGCCTTGACCACCGGCAAGCGACACGGTACCGCCTCCAGACAATGAGGAGGCGCCAGCAGCAACTTCGATCGCTCCAGCGAGGCCATTGGCACTGGCCCCACTGGACACGCGAACCGAGCTTCCTGGAACGTCGCGAGACGCACCCGCAGAGAGATGAATGGCTCCTGCGGTACTTGTTCCTTGACCGGTCGCGACCAAGATAGACCCGCTTGTTGGGCCGTTCGCCGTGCGCAACGCGATTGCGCCCGACCCGTCCGACCCAACGCCAGTTTCAAGCACAAGCTGACCACTTGCGCCTTCACCCGCGCCAGAACGGATGGAAACGACGCCACTAGAGGCCGATCGAGAGGTCGACGCGCCGGCCTCGATAGAGACGTCGCCGACACTATCGCCAGCGCTTCCTGTCGAGATGGCAATGCTGCCCGACGTGGACGAGGAGGCGCCCGTCGAGAGAGCGATACTGCCACCTGTTGTAGCAGCGCCACTAGCTTCCAAGCGAAGGTGGCCACTTCGAAGTGCACCTTTGCCCGTGACCATCGCGACGTCGCCGCCTTGGCTCGCCTGGCTTGCACCTGTTTGAAGCACAAATGCGCCGCCGTCTTGCTGTTGGCTGTCGCCAGTCGTCAACGACAACGAGCCAGCCGTACCTTGTGCCGACCCTGCCGCGAGCGTGATATCGCCCGAGGTAGCCCCCTTTGAGGTTTCGATCGCGACGCGACCCGACTGCACACTGGACGAGCCCGAGCGCAAACGGACGTCGCCGCTCTTGCCGCTCGACGACGCCGCCGACGCGAGATCGAGGCGTCCAGACGACATGTCGCCCGCACCGCTCGTGACCACCGCGTCGCCGCCGGTTAGACCGGCACCGCCGAGAAGCGTCACCTGCCCACCAGTGCGCTTGGCACTACCGGCAGATATTTGGACAGAGGCTCCGTCCGCAGCGCTACTGTCACCAGATCGCACGTGAACAGCACCGGCTCGAGTGTTGAGGGAGTCACCCGATGCAACCGAGACCGAGCCCGATGCGTCCAAAGACGCCTCGGACAATACTGAGATGTGCCCGGACTGTCCGGCGGTCTTGGACGCAGCGCTGAGAATCGTAACGTTGCCGCCGACGCGCCCTTGTCCACTTGTGATCGAGAGTGCACCGCCAATGTTGCGACTGCTGCCAGCGCTGAGGTTGATGGCGCCGCTGCTTGCATCCGACGACGCAGCCAGCATGGAAATATCACCAACAGTGGCATGGACTGCGACCGTCGCCGCTGTGACAGACGTTTCGCCGTCCGACGTAACATCGACCGTGCCGCCGTTTGATTCGCTCGCCAGATGGACACGACCGCCACGTGTTTCCGAGCTCCCAGCAGCGACAATGACGTCACCGCCTGTTGCAGAGTGGCTGGCGCCAGCGGTCAGCCGCAAGCTACCGCCATCTTGAACCGATCGACCGACGGCAATATCAATCGATGAAGCCACGCGCCCCGCGCCCGAGACAATTTCAACTTTGCCGCCTTGGATCGCACCGCTGCCGGCAGAGACGCGAACATCGCCGCGAAGCCCGCTGCCACCTTGCACTGTCACCACGCCCGCTTCGGCATCAGCGCTTGCACCGCTCTGTAACGCAATATCGCCGCTGCGACCGCGGTCGTTCTTGGACGTCGAAATGGTAATCGCGCCAGACGCGCCAGTGGTCACGGTAATGTCGCTCGTCTCCGTTGCGAGCGAGACGACACCGTCCTTGCCAGATGCCGCTAGATTCAGCAACCCGTCGACGGTCGAGATGCGCGCACGACGACCATCAATGGTCACATCGCCGTCGCTGGACGACAGCGCAATGGTACCCGATGGACCGTCGGTTGCTTGGCCGCTTTGGAGCGTAATGCCCCCGCTGATCGCCGACTCGGCCGTTGCCAAGGAAAGCGAGCCACTGGTAGCACCAGCCCCGGTACGGACGTCAATGTCCCCGCCGATGGCAGAGCGGCTGTCGCCGCTCCGCAGGACAATTCTGCTGCCGTCGTACGCGGCCATATTGGACGCCGCCGAGATGCGGACGCTGCCACTTGCCCCCGATGATGCGCCGGTCGACAGTTCAATGTTTCCGCCAGTCGCAGAGCCACCGGTAGAGATACGAACATTGCCGGCCGCTTCAGACGCCATTCCCGTCGCCAATGTGACGTTGCCACTGCGAAGTTGACTGTCGCCACTCACGAGGTGGAGGCGGCCGCTGGTCGCCGCATCTTGAGCAGAAGACACGGAGACATCGCCCGAGTCGCCGACCGAGCTGCCGCTGCGCAAGTCGAGGGCACCACCATGGGTCGAGCCAGAGCCAGCCGCAAGACGAATAGAGCCGCCGCGCACACCAGCACCGCCAAGAATGGCCGTTTCGCCGCCAATGCTCGTCAAAGACGCACCACTGGAAACTACGACGCGGCCCGGCGTTGCGGTTGCATTCCCTGAGCCCACAAGAATCGCGCCCGTGGATTCACCGACACCAGTGTGCAAGGTCAAACTGCCACTTCCATGGGCGCTCTCTCCCGTCGCGAGGCGCACTTGGCCACTTGTTTGATCGCTGCGGGGGCTGTGAACATGCACGTCCCCACTACGTGTGCCGGCACCGGACACAAGTTCGGCGTTGCCACCGACCATGTAATCGCTGGCCCCAGCACGCAGCGTGATGGCGCCCGCCGTCCCAGTCGACGATGAACCGGCCGTAGCGAGAATGTCGCCACCTTGAGTGTCGCTCGATCCGGCCGTGAGGCGAATGGCACCACTGCCGCTCGACGCGTCGCCTGTCATCAGCGAAATCTCGCTGCCAAGACGACTCGGTGCCGTCGTGAGAGCGATGGTCCCGGCCTGTTGACTGGATGCGCCACTTGAGAGGCGTACCGAGCCACCCGTAGTGTCGCCCACGCCGCCCGCGACAAGCACGTCGCCAGCGGTACGTGTACTTGCACCGCTTTCGATGCGAACGGCACCCGAGGCCGCGGCACTGGATCCAGTCTGAATGTGCATCGCACCAGACGCGTCCTCACGCGCCGTTCCAGACGCAAGAATGACACGTCCAGTAGATGCAGCGCTCGTGGAGCCGATTTCCACACGACCGCTCGTCGTACCCGCACCAGTGCCGATCGTAACCATACCACCGTCGCCGCCTGCCGAAGCCGCACCAGCGTTGACGCGAATGTTCGACCCTTGCGGCAACGCACCGGCAGCCAAAACAATACCGTCGTCGCGTAATACCAGGGACGAGCCTTCCGACCCGACCGCGAGGCGGATCTCGCCGGGCGCTGTCTGCGAGACACCCGACTGGACAACCACGCTACCAGAGGCGCGCGAGCCACGGCCTGACGAGACCACAACGTTGCCAGACAAAACGCCTTCGCCAGAGCGAATGGCCAACGAGCCCGAGTTGTCGCTTGCGCCAGATCCAACGGCGATGTCGCCCGACACCACGGCACCCGCGCCCGAACCGATGTTGACGGTCCCGGACCGTGACCCTTCACCCGACATCATCGCGACACCGCCAGATGTTTCCGAGGAACCCGATGCCACAAAGACAGAACCGGATGCCGCAGACAAACCGGATGCCAGAACGACATCGCCGGACGATTGGTCGCCATTGCCAGAACTGAAGCGAAGCGAGCCACTCGTCTCGGATTCCGACGATGCAACGTCCACGTCGCCGCTGACAGTCCCCGCGCCGCTCATGAGCGCTAGACGGCCGCCAGTCGCCGTTTCCGATGTCGAGCCGGAAATAGAAAGGGTACCGCCTTCGTGGGTCGAACGGCCGCCGGCGAGGCGGACAGCGCCCGCCCGCGCAGCCGCGCCCGTCACGATGTCGATCGCGCCCGACTCGTCCGAGCCCGCGCCGGATGCGAGCGAGATCGTCCCGGTCTTCAATGCCGACGCCGAAGCAAGGTTGATGGCGCCGCTGTCAACAAGACCACGACCACCAACCAACGAGATGCGGCCTCCACGACCGAGGCCCGATTCGCCAGCAAGAAGTTCGACGTTGCCCGCGTCGGCGCGTCGCGAAGCGCCGGTCGAGATGACGACAGAGCCCGAGGCATCCGTCGCGCCGCCCGTCGTCACGCCCACGTTGCCCGAGGCCGTCGAGTCCTCGGACGCTATGGTCACGGCGCCGCTCGAGAGCGACCCACGACCGCTCAAAACGGTAACGTTACCACCGTCTTGACTTGCGCTCGCACCCGCGCGCACTTGAAGGAGACCAACGGCAGCCGAGCTGTCGCCAGTCGACACAATCACGGAGCCCGAGCCCTGCGACGCGGCGTGTCCACTCGAAATGGCCACGGAGCCAGTGCGATCGCTCGATGCTGTCGACATGCGCGCGTCGCCGGACTGCATCGTGCTGCGACCGCTTGACACATCGATGCTTCCACTTGTAGCACTCTCGGAGGCGCCACCAGCAACGCGGACGGTACCACCCGAGGCCGTTCCCGACCCCGAGCCGCCCGACAATGTCGCGTCGCCGCCTTGCGCGCCGCCGTGGCTGCTTGCAACGGCACCACCTGCAAGCGCAAGGTCGGCGCCGCCATCGGTCTCGCTGCTCGACCCCGCAGCCACAAGGACGTTACCCGCCTTGTGACTTCGCGTAGAAGCCGACGTGAATGTAGCAGTCGCGGCGTTGCCCGCGATAACTTGAACACGACCACCGACGTTCGGGCCGTGCCCACCGGCAATACTGACAGTGCCAGCAGGGCTGGTACCCGTTGTGTTACCGGACGCGACTTGAAGGTCACCAGAGGCCACATCGGAGGACCCCGTTAGGATCGTGACATGGCCTGAGGCATCGCGGTGGACACCGGAACTCAAGCGCACGTCGCCAGAACGAGAACCAGTCATCGCAGACGAAATGTCGACGGCGCCAGAGGCGCCGAGGCGGCCAGCACCGCTTTGAAGAGCGAGGGTGCCACCTGAGGTGCCACCGCCAGCTTCGAGAGAGACAGTGGGCCCCGTGGAGGTGTCACTCGTACCCGCCTTGATGAGCACCGAGCCGGAGGTTGTCGTTGCATTGCCAGTCGAAATGGCCAGCGTGCCCGACGACACCTTGGCGTCACCAGTCGTAACCAAAGTGTTGCCACTCGCATCGGACGAGGCCGACGCGAGTCTTACGTCGCCCGAGATCGTCTCGCTGCCGCCGCTGAGGATGTGCACGGCACCACCGCCGAGACGGCCTTCGCCACCCACGACACGGACGTTTCCTCCGAGAGAAGTCTCGCCTTGTCCGCCGGCGATGGTCGTCGCGCCGCCGGCGTTTACTCGACTAGACCCGGCGGCGAGCTTGATAGCGCCCCCAGAACTCGACGAGCTTGCACCCGCCGAGACATGTACAAATCCAGCGGTGTTGGGAGCACGACCAGCGGCGATCGTCACACTCCCAGACGATGTCGTGGCTTGCGCCGTCGACAAGACGAGGTTACCGGTCACTGGAGCGTGACTCGAAGCAACAGACACGTCGCCACTGCGAATCGAACCCACGCCAGAGACGAACTCTAGAGCACCGCTTTCGGCGCCAGCACCCGTTCCAACCTCGACATTGCCGCTTTCTTGGCCACTGGCACCGGAACTGATCGCAATAGCGCCACCCTTGGACGCAGTCGAGGTACCGCCTTGGAGTGACAATCGGCCTGGCACCATGGCACCAGCACCGGCCGTCAACGCTACCGACCCACCGACACGGGAGCTCGTGCCGCCGCGCACGTGAATGTCGCCGGCATCGTTGCCCGTTGCATCGCCCGTGGCCACGTCGATGTTGCCCGTACCAGACACATTGGTCGTCGTCGTCAGACGCACATCACCACTCGTGCGCTTCGCGCTCGCGCCCGACTGGATCACAACGTTCGCTCCGACGGCTTCATCCGACGCACCCGCTTGGATGGCCACTTGGCCACCTTGACGGGCCGCACCGGCTTGGATTGCCACCCGCCCCGCTGTGTCGGTTGCTGTAGCACTCGTTACACGAACTTCACCGGACGCCGTCGAGCGCCCCGACGTAATTGTGACGTTGCCACTCAAGGGCGAGTTGGCGCCACTTGCGAGCGCCACGTCGCCGGACACGCGTTTGCCCGCGCCCGAGACAGCCATGATAGACGCGCCGATATCAGCCGACGTGCTTGCACTCTCAAGATGGATGCCGTCTTGAGCTGCGGTGGACGTACTCTTGCCTTGGATGATTCGAATACCACCAGAGACGGCGCCGTTACCGCTACTCAGAGCGATCGCGCCAGACGAACCTGCCGACGAATCGCCCGAGCGCACGTTGATGGTGCCAGACGACCCAGCCGACGTTGATGATGCGACCAAGACGTTGCCAGACGCCATCGTTCCATTACCAGAGACAAGTGCCAAGTCGCCGCCAGTTACACCATGACCAGCAGTGAGTTGCACGCGGCCGCCAGTAGTACCAGCGCCACCAGAGATGGCCACGGTCCCCCCAGCCATCATAGACCCCGTCGTCGCACCAGCAAGCAACACGAGGTCTTCGCCGCGTGCAGCACCCGAGTTCCCGACTTGGACAACCAGCGAGCCTGCTTGAGAAAGACGACTCGAGCCACTACGAATCGCGACGTCGCCACCACGGCCTTGGTCGCTCGAGCCACCAAATACATCGAGAGTGCCAGCGTTGGCGGTCGCCGATGGGCCAGAACCGAGCAAAACGTTCCCCGAAGACGTGGCGCCTTGGCCAGAGCTCAATTGCACACTGCCCGAGGTCCCACTGGATGTGGCACCCGACTGAATGACGGTTGCACCCGTCGCTTCTGACGCCGCACCCGATGACACCGTGATCGCACCTGAGACTGAGCCGGAGCCGGACACCAGTACAGCAGCACCGCCCGTATTCGTAGCAGTGCCCGCCGAGAGAACCAAGGCGCCACCGATCGCGTCCGAGCCGCCTTCAGCGACCAAGCTTGCAGCCGATGCCAAAGCGATACCACGAAGCGTGACATTGCCATGCTTGGTCGTCGTTGACACACCACCGACAACTTCAACGGAGCCGCCGGTATTCTTGGCGGTTGTCGAGCCACCAAGGACTCGCACCATGCCGCCGCTGTCACCACCTTGTACCGTTACAGAGCCAGCATTTGTTGTGCCACGACCACCAGAAACAGTGACGGAGCCACCGTGTTGCGCCGAGTCGCCCGCAGTCAAGTTGAGATGACCGCCGACAAGCGCGCCTTGCCCAGAAGCCACGACCATGTCACCAGACCGCAAGTTGGCTGCGCCTGTTTGCAGGGTCACGGCACCAGATGATTCTTTCGATGCACCCGAGCCAATAACGACGGCGCCAGTGCCCTTAGTAGACGCTGCCGTCGCGATGGCAACGTCGCCACCGGCTTCATCTTGATGACCGCTCGTGATGGAAACTTGGCCAACACGGCGCTGCACCGAGATGCCAGCGGCCAAACTCACGTCACCAGTTGCAGACACACCAACCAGAGCGTCGCCACTTGAGATCGACACGCTGCCACCGAGACCCGCAGCGAGGGAAATGTCCCCCGCAGCCGCCTTCGCAGCCGCTGACGCAATCGTGACATTACCTGATGTCGTTCGTAGCGACATGGCGCCATCGGCGCTGGCCAAAGCAATCACGCCGCTGCCATGCACTGACGTCCCTGACGAGACGTCAACCGAGCCACCAAGCTTCTCCATCGATGAGCCAGCAACGAGCTGAATCGAGCCACCGTCTTGAGTTCCGTTGGCTGCGAGGATGCTCACACGACCTGCGGGCGCGACGCTGGACACACCCGAGGAAAGCATGATCGATCCACCGTCGGCCGTCGAAGATGATCCACCTTGAAGGGACACGGTACCCGCGGTCGAGCCTGATCCAGAGCCAATGACGACGCTGCCGCTCTTGCCATGACTGTTCCCAGAACTGACCGCAACAGCGCCCGAAATGTCTTTACCGGCACCCGTCGTTAGCGTTGCGCGACCGGACGTTGACGAAGCGGACGTCTGGAGAAGAATGGTACCACTGCTTCCAGCGGCACTCGAGCCGCTATTGATATTGACGACACCACCCGTAGCCTTGGACGACGCTCCACCACCGATGTGCACATCACCGGTTTGGGTAACGCCGTCGCCGGCCGCAATCGAGACACGCGCGCTCGTCGGGCCGTTGCCAGAACGGATCGAGATCGCTCCCGAAGCCAACTGTCCCGAGCCGCTGGCCAAGAGAACATTACCACTTCGTGAGCTTGCGCCAGATGTCAGAGCAAGAGCACCCGACGCTTCCGACCCAATGCCAGAGTTGACGACAACTGAGCCACTGACAAGGTTCGCATCCGCCGACATAACACCGACGGAGCCCGACGCTTCAGCACCGAGACCCGACGCGATAGAGACACGACCACCACGAGCGCCGTCGCTACTGCCACTCGTGATACCAACAGTACCACCATCAAGAGATCCGCGCCCCGCAGCAACGAGGACCGAACCACCGTCGCCAGATGCCGACGAGCCGCCATAGATGCCGACTTGACTTGATATCGTTTGTGCTTTGCCGCCCATGACGCGTACGCCGCCACCCATTTGACCAGTCCCGCCGATGACGTCGATAGCACCACCAGCTCGAGACTCGCTCGATCCAGGCGCAATGACAATGCGCCCAGCGACCTTCGAACTGTTGCCCGTTGACAGTAGCACGTCGCCACTAGTGCCAGTGCTGTTGCCACTTGACAAGACAACGCTCCCCGACTGTGTAGTTGAGATGCCAGTCGT